AATCAGAAGAGCTGCTGTGAAAGTATCTCTGCTCACAACCCGTAGCCCAAGTGGAAACAGGAGCTGTCAGAACTGTCCACAGGGAAAACATGCCTACTCACATTTCACCAGGCTTTACTCATTCCTGTGGAGTCACTGCTCCTTTGAGCACTGTTCTGCACCAATGTGTTTGCTTTGTCAGCAACTGAAAGGAAGGCAAGGGTAACTTCTTCCAGTGCTGGGAGATTCAAGCCTGGAGTTTTACTCACACTGTGCAATATTTCTTCATTAAGAGCACTGTGAAATCCTGATGCCAGTGAGATAACAGTTCCTGAACTAAGTCATTGCTGACAGGGAATTTTCAGCCTCTGCCTAAGACAGGGTTTTTCTTTATTTTAGAAATATTGTGTTTTTCACTAGTTTTTTCACTATGTTTTTCACTGTGATGTCTTTCATGACATCAGTGTGGATATTATCTAAAGAACTGAGTAGGACCATCAGATGATGCAGAGTTTTGGTGGTTGAATACGAAGTTTGGAGTTAAGAGTTGAAATAATCTTCCTGGGAATTGTTTGCCTGGGAAATATTTGAAAAGTGAAGAACCACTGTAGATGACTAATAGACTTGGTCCAGTGTAGGAAGTTCTGAAATTCATATGAATAATTTGTTTCTGTAATTTTAGATTTCACCTAAATCTCTGCCACTATGCAAAAAAACCTGAATGATAAAAATGCGTAGGAGCATGACAGAGGACTATTTTGCCTTCACTTTTAAAGATAAAAAATATTAAAATATGTGAAGCAACATGAGCTTAAGCCCAGTAACATACAACAAACAGAAAATATCAATGGTTACTGACAAGAAATGGAGAATTTTTAGTAGTAAGAGAACAATTTCTTTCTTGTAACCCTGCCAAGCAACCTCTGCTGTGAACAGAACTATTGATTCAAGGGAAGTTGTTTTACTCAGAGGCTGAATTCCAGCCTCTCTGTGTGCAGGCACTTCTGCTCCTAGCCTGCTTCCCAGCAGGGCCCCAGCCAAGTGGAGATGACTTTGCAGTCCACAGTCTCTGTTTTCTGATAGATAAGCCCAAACCCAGCCCAGGCACTGGCTTCCCTTTCAACTGCACATGTACAGGGGCTTTCTTCTTTGTCATTTCAGAAATGCAGTTCCTCTCTCTCACATTGATTCAGATTTCAGGCCAGCTTTCACTTGTCTTCCAACCTTCTTATCATCTGCAGCTGAGTCATCTCCCATGTTTCCTGTAGTCTGGTTTAATTCCTTCTTTGGCAGATGGGATTTCCACTCCCACTCTTCCTCCACAGATGAATCCTCAAGGAAGTCATCTTGCTTTTCTGCCTTAAGTTTTCCATCTCTAACATGGGAATCAGGACACTTTCCTTCCTTGGACCAGTTCTGAGAACATATCCACTTCTGTCTACAGAATACTGTGATACCTGCCACTGAAAACTGCAGTGTAATCAACGTAATCTATAATGTGCCTTCTTAAGGGTTTCTATGAATAAGGAAATGCATTGTATTCCTTTTCCTGGCTAACTACACCATAGGAATGGAGAATTACAGTCACATCAAAATTATAGCACAGATACTGAAGGCCAAGTATCACCTGTACCACAGGCAGGGGTGGTGTGGCAGGTAAAGGACAAATATTTAGGTCTTCACATGTAGCTGAGGATTTGTGGGGCCTAACCTGAACCCAGAGAGAAGAAGGAGGAGGAAGATGCTTAATGGACCAAGTACAGACATCTGGTTTCTGGGACAGAAGCAACAATGATGGAGAATAAAGCTTGGAGGCCCTTTTAGCATCATGCAGGAACCAACCTGAGATTTTAGTGGACAACCCTATAAGTCCCCTTCCTCCACAGTCTTGGTCACGCTCTGATGACAGAAAACAATCTCCTGGGGAAATCCACAGGGCTGTAGAGTGCTGAAGTTAATGAAAACATCATCCAGCTCTCCACCTGGTAATACTGACCAAATCATTGATGCTGTTAAATAGACTCCCTTTCGTTTGAAATGCAAACAGGTAAATATTAGTGCAACCTCTAATGAGACTTGGAGAATGCACACACCAACAACCCCTGTTCATTACACTTAGGCACGCCCTGGAAGGTACAGAACAATGGAGAGGATGTCCTCTGTCCCAGCTAACTTAGACCCAACTGGAAGAAAGCTAAAGCAGAAAGAGCTCTCAGTTTATGCTGGACACAAACTCGTGGATTGGAAATTATTCCAGAATGCTCTGTATTCATGTTTCATCTGTATTTTCTCGGCTCAGAGTAAGGCATGAACAACTCTCCCTGCAGTCATGGGTGTGTAAGGACACTGCAGGATGGATGTGCCTGAGGAACCTTCCCATCCCTCCCTGTGGAAAACAGGACCAAAGGACACCTGAAATCCCTTGGCTTCTAGTGATGCTTTAATTTATTTTCACAGCCATGCTAAACCAAAGAGGACACAGCCCTGTACACTCTTTGTATACATTCTTTGCTATGACTATAGACTTCCTTTTTGGAGAGTAAATAAAATATTTACAGTCTATAAATCTCGGAAAATTGTTTCTCTTTTAGCAGCAGATTGACTTCCCTGGCCTGCTGCAGGGCAAATTGAGTACAGTCTCCGGCTCATCTCCTAGCCTACAAGACTTAAACATTTTTAGAGCATCTTGGAAAAGATTTTTGTGATTTACATACAAATTTTTTTGCTGGAGAGGAAACTGGGGGCTTCTCCTACAATACAAATGATATTCTGCAACTATTGTTATAAGAGTCTTTTGTAATACAGCTTTGTAGGACACAGACTTTCTTTTGTCGGCTTTATTTACATCTGCTGTGTTTTATGGGCTCTGCACCACTCACATTTCTGAATCATTTGCGTTGTTCCTCATACTCTTTTGGCTGAGATCATCACTGGGTTTTACATGGCACTTTACTAGCAGGACATGCATGTTGAAACAAATCTTAATGCTTGGGATTTGTATTTTTAAGGTCCTCTTCAAATACAGCTAAATACAGCTTTACACCATTGGGGTAGGGAACCAAGAAGAGTTATTCCTGTTCCACTGGAAAGTGAGAGGCTGAAGCGACGCTCTGTCCCCACAAACCCAATACATGCCCAGGTGGAACATCAATGCTGGCCCCCACCATGCCGAGGGAAGAACAGGCTCCTTTTGTTTTGGAAATGGTTAGTCACATTTAAAGGAGACCTAATGCTATTTTGAACCACAGAAACACAATCTTTGGTGTATTTCCATGGAGTCTCAGAAGTTATCTGGTTGGTTTCCTCCCTGTCCAACACCACAGAGTTGGGAAAGGCTGAACCTCCTCCAGTTCATCTTTGGTTGTACACAAAAATACACAATAAGATTATGTGTGGTGTGCAGGCTTCTGTCTGGTCACAGTATACAAAATATAGATTACACTTAGATAAACTTAATTCAGTTAAATGGAATAAGATTAATGGGAACAGTTATTTTCCAAAAGGAAGTACAGGAGCACAGGTGGTTGCAGAGATGAGCTGAGTAGTCTCATTCCCCAGCTACTGGGATGTGTATTAGGACATTTAGGAGCCTGACTTGGTCCTCATTGAAACAAAAGCAGAAAAACAATCATCTGCTTTTTGATAAATGGGATGTGCTCAATCTCTTAGTTACTCTGTTTTTTCCTTCATTTAACTGCTCTACCACCAGCTGAAGTCATAAGCAGGGGTGTCTGCTAAAAGAGTACAAATAGGTAAGGCTTTTTCCTCCACCTTCTCCATATAAAATGAACAAATGAAATATGAGGTCATACTCATCCAGACACCTCAAAGCCTGACATGGAGTAGGCCAGCCTAAGGAAGATGTTTGAGGACAGACTGACACCCACTAAGACACCAAATGCCATGGCCACAGCTGACAGATGCCTTTAGACCCCATGTTTTTAGCTAGTCCTTACACTTCAGATTTAATCAGGCTTTTCACACCACATACATATCTGGGGAAAGGAGATGCACAAGGAACTATGAGAGAGGTTTCAAACAAAGCTGATGGGACAGTGTTATTCCGTTTGTGAAAGGCTTTGCTGGACAGACACTGGGTACTGAGAACTGCCTTCCCCTTTTTGGTTGAGAGCAGAAGTCACAAATAGCAGGAGCTGTAGGTTTAGGTTTTTCCCACACCTTTGCAATGCCAAGAGCAGGTCACAGAGGCTAGCACAGCCCCAAGGCCACCAAGGGAGGAAATAACACTCTGCATTTCCTTACCACAGTTGTGCAAAGGTGGAAAATCTCCCTTTACCATTGCATGGATGATGAAAATAAAGGGGTTTTAGAAACCAGATGAAGTAGTCCACCTCTAAACATTAGCAGAGACTTGCTTAAGGATCTTTAAAGTGTTTTCTTTTCACTTGATTCAATACAACTTTTCTTTAGCATGGCACCTGGGCCTCTGAGTCACAGCGAGCTCCAGAGACTGGCAGTTCTTTCCCTCTCTAGAAAGCACACAGATACACAGACACATAGACACACACACACACACACAGACTCAAACAACAAAAATCAGTAACAGATGTTTGCATGGTCTCAGATGTAGCATACTGTAAAAAAATGACACTGCCACAGTCCTTGGAGGCAGGTTAGTATTTAGTTTGGCTTGCAGTTTCTTCAGACTCCCAGGGCAAAAGTAACTTTAGGGGAGATGCCTCCATACTTTTTGAAGCCCAAAGCACCTCATCCCAGCAGCAGCAGACTGCAGATACCCTTGGAGCTGATAGAGAAAGGTTGTAGCTTTCCTTTCTTCCCCTGTAGCACTGTCGGTAGGACTTTCATTTCTTACCCACATCCAGAAAAGGCTGCATTATCTCTATATTTAGCTGGATCACCTGGGTGGGTATTAATACATAGTCATGTGCCTAACTCCTGCCTCTGGTGTGGCTCAGAAATTTAGGGAAGTTGTTAGTGACCCTCAGTTGGTTTTGTAAAATTACAATTCACATGGACTGTCACAGGCTCAGACAGTGGAGGAAATGTCTCTCTCTCTTTTATTCCTAAGGTCAGATTCCCTTCCAGGCCCCATGGTCACTGGTGACTGACATTCTTCTGGGTATCCAATTGTCTTTTTGCCATGAAAAGCACCATTTGACCCACAGGCAGACTTGCATCTCTCCTCCTTGCAGAGATTTGTTTTCTGTAGGGGGTGACAGGAGACTAGCACTCTACTTAATCCATTTGGGACCCTGCACAGGGATGAGGAACAAGATAAGGATAAGTAGATTTTCTGTGCAGTTCTTCAGAGACACTTTGTACCAAAGCAGACTCAGGGAGGGTTGGGCAAGACATTCAGCCTTCTTCACATCATCCTGTGAACCTGTCCGGGCATTTCCCCCACCTCTCCTTATTGTTCAGCAACAGAGGAAGGTGGTGAGAAGAGCCCACTTCAGAGAGGTCTTTGGACTTTAAAAAAAGGAAATATAGTTGAATTTTGTGATAAAAAATAACACAACACAGAACTTCATATTGGCACTGCCCTTCACTGGTTTGAGAGTGGCCAGAATATTTTCACACCATTTTTAACAAAACAGTCTCTCTACAGCTTCTCACTGGGATGTATAAATTTTTGAACTGGACATTGAATCTGAATTTCTAGGTCCATAATAATCTCCATTGTCCAGATATTATGATGGAAAGCACATTTTTTCATTCTGCTTAAACATGCATAAATAACACCCAATGTGTCATATTAACACATTTCAATGGAAACACTTATTTTGACTTGTCCCCAAACCAACTAACCTTACCTGGAATAACTCCTAAGTGATTTGCAACTTTAAATAACTTTGAGTTTCTATTATGACTTTGTGGAAGACTTGCCTTTTAATGCCTCCGATTGCCATCCCAGTTCCTCTCTCTTTGTCTAACCGACAGAGATGATTAAGACAAAACTGCTGGCAGTACCCTCCCTGCCTTTTTGTAAAGAACATCCTTCTTTCTACTAACTTTTCCCTTCTTCCTCACAGAGAGAGCTTTTTGAGCAACCTAGGGAGTTTGTTTTTATAATGAACTGAAAACCCTTTTTTCAGTAGGTACTGCTGAAGTGGGAGCATTTTCACAGATCTGCAAGTTGAAAATGACAAGGAGGAAGAAGGACAGATAGACACTAAAAACATAGGAGAGAAAGAAAGGCAAGACTTTTGATACGTTTATTGAGAGGAAGCTCCCAAAAAGGATGAGGAAATTACTGTCTTCCTAAACACCATCAAATTGCCCCAAGGGTGGACTCGCCTTACATGAATTAGACATCAGGACTAGTAGATGCCTGTGCTTGTGCCAGTTATCCCAGCAAAACAGAAGTCTGTGGAAGGTCATTCACTTCATTTCAACACAAACCAGCCTTTGGAGGTCCTTATTTCCCTTCACTGACTCTAAAGGGATCCATGGATAACTTGCTGTAGCACAGATATCTGACTCTGAGATGTCAGGAGAAGGCAGGCAAATCCTAACCCACAGTTCTGTATCATCACCTATATGTAAAACCTACTATGAAAATGCATTTGTGATTAATCACATATCCTTACAAGTTGTGAAATTCCATGTAATAGTTCCCCTATGAACCATAACACACATTTCCCGTCAGCTTAATGTTTTCTGTAAAGGTGTGCAGCAACAATTGCTCCAGAAGTGCTCAGTGTTTTGGGCCAAGTTACAGTTTCTAAGGGAATCATAACTTCGCCTTGATTTGAATGCAATTAAATTCTCTGCCATAATAGCAGCATAATGGCAAGAATATTTTTTCTTTATTTCCTCAGCTTGGAAATTAAAAGGGAATAACACACATTGGTGCACAAGGAAATAGACCTTCAATTCCATACAGACAGCAGTATTCTCAAGTCAGTGTGTTCTCCTTTCTGGTATGAAAAGGGATACAGGAAAACCCAATTATATATATATATTTTTAATGCCCACTTCCAGTACCTGAAAAGGAGGAAGTTGTGCCAGCAGTTAGAACATGGACCCAGCCATGGCTTGTAGCTTTTCATCTCAGCCCACTCTGGACTTTAGGCTACTTATTGAATACCTGTTTGCCTGCCTGAGATGTTGAGACCCAAAACTTGATATGATAAAAGCTGTGTACAGGTTTAACTTTTCATATGGCACACATTCTGTGATGCTGATAAGTACTCTGAGTAGAGCACAAATGATGACTTCATCCATGTCAGTTCTGCTCGAAGCCATCCTTCAACTAGTTATGAACTTAGAATGTTGTTTGTTGGATTTTTGTTTGTTTGGGTTTTTTTGTGCATAAAATACATGAAAAAAATCCCCAAATTCTTTATTACTGTTAAAACCATCAGTTTTTGCTTTATGTTCTTGCAAGCAGTGTTTTTATGGGCCCCTGAAAGAGTGTTTTACATAAAATTTTACAGTGTTTATCTCCTAATGTAGGAGATACAGCTGAGATCTTATCACAACAAGTAAACCACATATATGCCTCTTTTGTGTTCTAGCACCCTGCCAAAGAACCATTACATGACCATTCCTGCCTTGTATCACACCAACCCAACCCTTCCCCAAATAACCAGACCGCAAAGTGCAACATCCATGTATGGAGGATGGCTTCCCAGTAACCCTTCCCACTGGAGCTAGTGCCTTAGCAGATTTCCTTGAGGCATTTGCCACAGGAATGCACATGAATGTGGTCTGTGATCACCAGCAGCCTGTAGGGATTGGTAGTGCAGAGCTCAAAGTAGAACAGAGAGTATCTGAGTGGGGCAGGTTCTCTTTTTTTCCCTTAAAACTCTAACTTAAAACTAGGCTTTAAGTTAAAACTGTATATATTCCTGAGGGAGGTGAGGGGTGGGAGTGGTTCTGTGCTTTGCAAACACCTGTGCCAGAGAAGAAATTACCAGTGAGCAGTGTCCCTCCCAAAAGGAGGGACCTTTCCTCAGAAGGTGGTAGAACAGCTCACACAAGTGTTCTCTGTATAATTTAGTGTCAGGATGAGCTGCATTAAAGCATAAGAGGCCTAAAAAGAAAGTTGTGCAAGCCTAAGTGGTACTGAGAAAAAAATGTGCAGCCTAGAAGAAAGTGTTCTTCGCTTTTTGGTGCTAACTCAGTAACAAGCATAATTCAGCTTGTGCTTTGGATCCAATTCTGCACCTTGAAAGCCAGAGGGACCTTCTGCTGATGACCTGAATAGGACCACAGTACCCAATCCTCACTTGCCACCCTTTCCCTGGGCTTTCAGACTATATATTGTCTGTTTAGTGAAGTGGTATAATAAAAAGGGGAGAACTGGACCTTCAGTCACACAAATAAAAATCAGTCTTGGGAGTTGGAGTTGATGATTCTTCCAACTCAGGGTATTGCATGATTCTGTGATTCTGCGATCTTCGCTGATTTTTCTTGTTATAGCACAGGCACATGCCCTGTGAGTCCATTCCCAGCACAAAGCATACTTTAGGCTAAAACCCCAGTGTACTAACTTTGGCAGTACCTGTGCTACATCTAAATGTGGAACAGTTCAACAGCTGACAATTAAAGTCAACTTTAATTATTCTTATTATTCTTTCCTCTCTCAGAACTTGCCTGAAATTAACAGACAACTTTGCTAAACTGTTAATCTGGAATTAGGACTTCAGGATTGGATGCTCTGCCACGAACCTCTTTTTCTTGTTTATACAGCTTCCAAAATGTGGGTGGTTTATTAGAGGGCTTATCTATCTATTTTGTCTTATCTTTCCTAATTGCAAGATCAAGTATGAAGAGAATAATTTAATCTGCAGAGTAAATAAACAAGCACTGCACACAGAACTGGGATCAGTAAGGATTGCCTGAAAATTTCCAGGTGTATCAATAGGTTTCTCCTACAGCTGGGGTTGCTTTGTGTCCTGGGGTTTTAACATAGGCCCTGTTCTGTGATAATGAAGTTGTGAAACAGAAAACTCTGGAGAATTATGCAGCATTAAGTGATGCAGAAGAATCTTTGACTCTTTTAAAATATTTCATTCTTTTTTTTTCCCTCTGAACAGGTGTAGTGCTGTGTGAGGTGAATGAGAGCAGTTCCTACTTCCAAGGTCATTATTTATTCAGAGATAATTATTTATTGGTTAAAATGCATTCTCTTATATGCCCAGAATTTGCAATCCATGTTTTTCTGTATTGCAGAGTAACATCCATTTCCATTTTAATAGTGACAGTGAATGCAACAAGCAGGGCCAGACTGTGCAAAACAAACGTCCACTAATTTGTAGTCTTTTAAATATGTAAAGCTAGTCTTTGATGTTAATACACCATTAAAAAGGAGCTGGGAAGTTCACACATCTGTTCCTGTGTCACTTGTCAAGCAGCAGAACAGCTCAAAGAGCAGCTTGTTGTTTTGCAGCATCAAACTCACCTTACAACTTTGGCATCCTGTAAAATGTTGAATTTTATACAACATGCAAAATCCATGGGAGGAAACTCCATCTGCAGGGCTCATGCCTTTCTGTGCCCTTTCTTCTTTCTCCAGCAGCACCTGATTCTCCAATGGTCCTTGGAGATGGAGGAATAGCTACATCACCCTGGCAGTCAGAGTCCATGCACAGTGACCAAATTTTCCAACCCCAGGGATTATGTTTACAAATATCTTTGAATATCACCACAGTTAGAACATAGTTCAATGTTTTGGGACTACAATGCTTAAAGGGAAAATGAATTTGTCATAGTGGGGTTTACTGTAGCCAGGATCAAGGTGATAACAATTAAAAAAATTCTTAAATGGTTCCTGGCAGCAGCTTGTGCAGCATTTTAGTTTTTCTTCTTAACTCCTGTTAATGGGGAAAAATGTGTGGCAATTTCACTTATTCTTCTATAAGGTGAGCCATGACTGCTCTCATTTCTCCCATTTCTGAAGTGAAGAGCTTCACTGAAGTATCAGGAAATCATCAGTGCCTTCCAGAAAATAAAACAGGGTAACTTAGGCATTTGAAACAGTTTTCAGCTTGAAACATAGACAGTTGTGCTGACAGCAGCTACCTGATCCAAGTTATGGTCTATTTTTCACACTTAACAAGTAGGACACAGGTACAATACATATACTTTTGGCATAGATAAGTAAACTGCATTCCCATTTTTAGTGGAAGACAGAGATACTCATTAGCATTGCTATAACTGAGGCAACATGCGAGGCATGCACAGACTGATTACACTGCAGTATTGTGTTGAAAGCAAATTTTTTTTTCCCTTCATAAATAGGCCAAACTGGTGTTTCTACACCACTCTTTAACCTGCTATCTTAAGAGGCTTGTTCTTTTGGCACAGAGGTGGAGCTTCTTTCAAAAGAAGACAACCAATTATACAAGGCATTGACTTTCGATACTCAATTATATCCTCATCTTTCCTCTTTCTAAGAGTTTTGAGACCCTTATTATTATAAAAATAATGATAATTTTATCTTTGTAAATATTTGTCTCTGGTTACTTTTAGCCCATGACTCTCCCAGATCCACGTCAATTCATTCCCACAGCAGCAGAACTGAAGCAGGAAAGCAAATTTCTGTTCTCATGTACGAAAAAGTCAGGATTAAATTTGTCCCCTTCCTGCAGGAACAACCGCAGCACTTGGTTTTGATATTAAACCCATAATTTATTTGTCAGTTAATAAACCAATACCTGGTTTGAGCATCACTAGGCTGGGATAGAGCACCAGGCACAGCTGATGGGCACTACTCTTAGTACCAAAATTGTCTTAGATATCATAAATTGTTTACATTGTTTATAATTTTTCAGATTCTAAAAATAACTCTCCAGTAGGCACTGTCTCATCTCAGAAATGAGCTAAAAAACCACCAGAAATCAGGGAAATAACTATTTTCTGCTTTTAGACATATCGTTGACTACATGAGAGTGGCAGACAAAGACTCCATCAACAAATTTGTGCATAAGGAAAAGGATTTTCATGTAAATAATTATTATGAAAGTTAACTAGCCGCACACATCATAAGGAAAACATCAGGGAGGTTTGTTTGTGGAGGCTAAACAAAATATGATTGCTTCATGCTGTTCTTTTATTGGAAGCACAATTTAGAGGCATAGCAATCATATATATTTACACTATAAGAAGCACCACATCTTTTTGAAAACACTATCAGGCTCCCTGCAGAAAAACAAAGTTGGCAAAACTTCACAGTTATTAACCTAAAGCTGAAAATATTCCCTTTTCTGGAATGTCTTGATGTTGTTTATATGCACCTTTCTGGTAGTGATTTCCAGTGCAACAAAAAATAATTAATTGCTAGAAAGTTAAAGGTATAAATTACTTCAAATGGGATCTTGCCAAGGATTTGGCAAACAAATTTTATTTATTTCAACATTTTCATCATGGTGAAGGAAAAATGTCCTTAGATGAAAACTTATCTGCCTGGATTACTGGATGATACTAAACCCGTAAGTGATGACAAAGATACAGACTTGCTGGAGTCTTTCTAGTTCACATGGTAGCATTTCTTGGCCAGAACAGTCTGAGACAGCTTTTATAACCCAATCTTCAAAGAGGCTTTACCTCCATTGCCAGTTTTTTAGTTGTTTTCATGAAAAACTCTGCCTCTGGAAACAGAAAACCATGGGTTTCCAGTGAAAATTTGGGTGCATGGTGCCTCAGAGCTGATAGGCATTGCACTCCTGGGAAAACAACTTCCATGCTAAGGAAGAGAAGTAGTCTGCTGTCCCCGTGCTGAGTGGGACATGGATGCCAAAAACACAAGAGCCTGTTTTTGAGATCCACAGAAGTATCTCAAAGGCAGGTGCCAAGAGGATGGTGCCAGACTTATTTTGGTGGTGCTCAGTGACAGGATGAGGAGCAATGGACAGAAACTAAAACACAGTAAGATTAACATCATGGAACCATGGAATATCCAGAGTTGGAAGGACCCACATGGTCATCAAGTACAGCTGCTGGCCCTGCCCAGACACCCCAACAATCCCATCCTGTGCATCCCTGAGAGTGTTGTCCAAATGCTCCTGGAGCTCTGGCAGTCTCAGGGCCATGCCCATTCCCTGGGGAGCCTCGTCAGTGCCCACCACCTTGGGGGAAGAACCTTTCCCTGATCTCCAGGATAAACCTCCCTGGCACAGCTCCAGCCGTTCCCTGGGTCCTGTCCCTGGGAACATAGAGCAGAGATTGGAGCTAGCCCTCCATTTCCATGGAGAAGACCTTCTTTCTATGGAGGGTGGCAGAGCCCTGGAACAGTTGCCCAGGGAAGGTGTGGAGTCTTCAAATCTGAAATATCTTAAACCCACCTGTGTCACCTGCTACGGGTGACCCTGCCTCGGTGAAGGGCTGGACTGCGTGATTTCCAGAGGTCCCCTCCTAACCCCACCGATTCAGTATTTGCGCGTCTGTGACCTCACCGGGCGCTTGGTGCCTCCCCGCTCAAAGCCCCTTCCGTGCGACACGGGGGCCGCGTGCGGGATGAGCGATGTGCCGGTACCCCCGGGGTCCCCGTGCGGGATGAGCGATGTGCCGGTACCCCCGGGATCCCCGTGCGGGATGAGCGATGTGCCGGTACCCCCGGGATCCCCGTGCGGGATGGGCGATGTGCCGGTACCCCCGGGGTCCCCGTGCGGGATGAGCGATGTGCCGGTAC